CCCACTTGCATCCGAAGAAGTGGGCTGTAGTCCACGAAAGCTTATGCTCTAATAAATTTGTTAGTCTCTAAGGTGCCACAAGTACTCCTGTTCTTTTTAAAAGAACCTCGGAGTGGAGGAGGTGTGAAGTAGGAAGAAATGGAGATAGCCTTAGGACACCCCACAAACAAAAGCAAATGCAATGAGGGTAGATTTAGAGAATATGCTTCTGCTGCACATTGCTCTGCTTCTTGAATTTGTTTATAAAAATCTTTTGTCCATTTTTAGTAGTTGTCAACTTGCTTGGTTTGACTGGTGCCTGAAAAAGGGGGAACACTGTCTATGCTCTGGATCTCTGATACTGGTGAAATTCTCACGCATTGCTGTATAATGGCATCCCTTTGGTGCTGGTGGCAAGTGTCACTCCTCGCATATCAAGATAAGACTATATGAACTGTCTGAAAGCATGGTAATCAGTTAGTTACAAGAGGGGGGGCTTTAAATTTTAATAATACACAAGCTGAAAAAATGAACAATTTGTTCCAATAAAACTACTGCTCTGTTTACTTGTATCTTACTACAACTCAAATTAATAAGCAGGAAGCATAAAAACTGCACTCCTGCCTCCGTGCAACTACTTATAAGAGAAATTCACAGTGGTTGCCTGGAGATTTACTTAATCTGACAGGTTGATTTATCTGAGCCTGGTCTCCCAGTATCAGATGGGGGTGCGTGCCACTGGTGAACTTCAAGTAAGCAAAATTAAGATACTGAGTTTTTAAATGGATAAATTGTTTCAGTCCATTTTAGAGTTTTAAAAGCTCTCTCTCTCTCTCTTTAGTTCTTGTCGAAGGTTTGGAAGGCTTGAGGCACAGAATGGCCTGTTCACTGTCATTACACGTGTTCTGAGAGTACAAGTAGCTCACCATGGGGCCAGATGATGAGGTGGGACGATGCTCTACTCAGTTTCTACCTATATATATTCCCAAACTTCTCCAACAAAACAGCTGTTTGTTAATGGCATATTACCATTAGATAAGCAATTTAACAGTGTTGATATTTGGGGGAAAGTTGAATAAAGAAAAGGGTCCATTTAAGCATCCAAAATGCTCTTGCAGTTTATGCCTGCTTTTGCTTGTGAAGCTATTGTGATTGCAGGCTAGTTTTCATAGGTAAACAGCTATTTTGGTCTGCTTTGCTTGCCCAAATAACTCATGTATATGTAAAATCACGCTACTTGCACTTAAAAATGTATATTTTTTGCATATATGGCCTGCTTCTTTTAAAATTTGGTCTTTTAATTGTCATGGGATTTAAGAGTTAACATTCCGTTGCGATGAAGGGAGGCTGCTCACCTCTCAGAGCGATGGCTAGTGTAGCTAACCAAACTTGTGAAGATATTCCTGTGTTAGTTCCATTTTTTTGAAGTTTTTGTTCACAGCCAGAAACTTCAAAAAGCTTCACTTCTGCAGAAGGGGACGGAGGTCAGCAGAGAAGTGTGGGTACGGCATGTGATTGAGTGATGGTTTATTTGTATTTCAGCCTTTCCTACAATGTGCAAGGCTTTGTTTTGAAGAGTTTACAATCTTAGATGTCAAGTAAGAAGAAGACTGGAATAGAAGCAGACAATCAAAATACATACACTTATATAATGAATACTTGTTGTTGTTAAATACATATGTCAGCTATAGCTATCTGCTTTTCAACCAGTTGGGTATAAATACGGGCTCAACCCAACCTTAGCAGTGACTCAGAATGCCTGGAGTTTCATCTGCTTTTCCCTACAGCAGGGGTCTGACCTTTCACTCACTGAAGTCAGTGGTCTCATTCCTTTCAGTGGATGCAGGATTGAGCTCCAGGCTTCCTATTTTATTCCATTTCCTTCCCAGCAAATACAACAAGTTGGGTGCCTTATTTATGAAGGAGAGTGGAGTGACTTCAGCTCTAGCAAAAAATACTTGTGTATACACCTCTACCTCGATATAATGCGACCTGATATAACATGAATTTGGATATAACGCGGTAAAGCAGTGCTCCAGGGGGGCGGGGCTGCGCACTCCGGTGGATCAAAGCAAGTTTGATATAACGCGGTTTCACCTATAACGCGGTAAGATTTTTTGGCTCCCGAGGACAGCATTATATTGAGGTAGAGGTGTACTTAAAACATCTTGCCACTTATAAGCCACTTCCCCCTACTTCAGCAATGCTGAAAAGTTACTGTATATCTACACAGCACTGTAAGCCTAGGGTTAGTGGGACTTGAGTCATCTGACCCATATCAGAGAACACTGGGCTTGAGCATCTACACTCCGTCTTAACCTTAGGTTAAGGATTTTCTGACCTGTGCTCAAACCTAGGCTCTGGTATCCACACTTCAGTGCACAGATCTGAGTCAAAGTAATCATGGCTGGCTCCAGGTTTTCTGCCCCCCCAAGTGGCAAAAAAAAAAAAAAAAGACGAGCGGCAGCACTTCGGCGGCAGCTAAATCGCGCCGCTTCTTTGGCGGGAGTTCAGAGGAGGGTCCTCCCTCTCTTCCTCTTCGGTGGCAGCTCAAAGAGGAAGAGAGGGAATGAGGGACCTGCCGCCGAAGACCCAAACGTGCTGCCCCAATACCAGACGGAGTGCTGCCTTTTTGAATTGGCTGCCCCAAGCACCTGCTTCCTACGCTGGTGCCTGGAGCCGGCCCTGAAAGTAATCCTATCCCAGAGTGTCTAGCACCCCTCCCCTCTCTCCTGCCCTATGTTGACACTCTAGCCCGATGAATGTGTTGCACTGTGGAAAACTCTACTGCCCATCCTGTTTCCTACCGTGAGGGTGCTATTGATGGGACTCAGGTGCCCATAAAATAGCTCCTCTGTGGCTGTCTCAGTAGAATGACTGCAGTGTGAGGAGGCTTTATACATTGATCTGAGAACGGGGCTCTCCACTTCTAGGCTGAGTCACATGGCAGGGAAATGCCCATGTGCACCGGTTCTGAGGATAATCAGGACATCAGTCCTCAGGGCTGTCAAACTATTGAAATGAAACTTTGCAATTCTTAATTTTTTAAATTGGCATGTTCAGTGAGAGTGTATTTGAATTTTGACATAAAATGTAGGTTTCAGAAGAAAAAAACACACACACACACACCCAGCCTGGCAGCCGAGCAATGACGTGCATCCCCAGGGCTTGCGGTGCATTGTGCTCTAGCACCGGCCCCGAGGATACCTTATCCTTGCTCCTGCTGCACCCTTGGTGGCAGGGATAAGAGATGCCCAGGAGCCTGTGGGGAGGTTTGGAGGCTGGCTCCCACTCACCACCCTCACAGTGCACAGCTCCAAGGAGGGCAGGAGGGGCCTGGTAGCATGGGGCTGCGCTGCAGGGTGGGAAAGCACCAGAGCTCCCGGCTCAGCAAGGCCAGGGGAGGGATGACCCCCCAACATCCTGGCAGCTGGGTGCCAACTCCTGCCTCTCAGCTTTGCTCCCACTCTGGGCAAGCTCTATGCAACATTGAGGAAGAGCTGAAGCCACCGCTGCAGGACTCTGCATGGAGGTTTTGGGGCTGGCTTCCACTCACCCCCCTGACAGTGCACGCTGTCCGGGCAGCGGGAACCACAGAGTAGAGCAGGGACGAAACCGCT